TTCTATTTTCATATATTTTTATGTGTATCTCATGCATCTTATTATAACTTATTAAAAATACATATACTATAGAAAGGAATAATGATAAGGATTTTTTATGTTAATATATTTTTATGTATATTTTTATTTTTCAAATATTATAATGTTATACATATATATTTTTTCCAGAAAATTAAAAAAATAAACACTGTATGAAAATTAAATTAATTAATTAAATCACATTGTCTTATGTATCCAGAATTGTGCGAATTGTCAAATCCCAGCCATTTCACGTAAACCTCGTCACCCCTCCTGCGCAGTACTTTCTCCACGAGATACACGTCCGGATAATTCGCGCGATGCAACTCGTGTTCGTAGAACGCTCCAGCGATAGATTTTTTTGCGATAATCCTCAGTAGATAGCTTACGGGATTAGTATGCTGCACTTTTATAATTTTAAACACCTCGGTTGTCCAATTTGGCGTGTAACCTTTCTCGAAAACTGTCTTGTACTTGCTAACGCGTACCGAGTCACCTACTTTGAATTTCGCCGGACCCGCGATATTTACATGGTTGTACACAGTAGCCAAGAGTCTTTCAGCGATCGCGGGGGTAACGTCGACGGGCCGCATACCGATCGTTCTATGCTTGCGCGCGTTGTAATTCGATACGAGTTCCGGCAACACGTTGATCCACTTGTAAGATCCGTTTAGCGTAAACATCTTCCACATGTCGTTTTTCAGCGTGCGATTGAATCGCTCAACGATCGATGCCTTTAATGTCGAATATGTAGAATAATGATTAATGTCGTGTTTTCGCATGAGCCGTTGCACGTCGACGTTATAAAATTCCTTCCCATATCGGTCTGTATATTTTCGGACACCTCTTGCTATCTCGAATTATCTCGGCGATAGCGTCAGCTGTCTCGCTTCCACCTTTACTCTTGAGTGGTACAGCCCACGCGTACTTGCTCAACGCATCGATGACAGTGAGTATGTAGTTGTAACCTCTGTTGAAACGAGAGTACGGACGCATCTCGACGATGTCGGCTTGCCACAGGTCATCGTATCCCCGTACTATAACGTGTCTTCGGGGGAAATTTTTTCTCGCCGGTGCGTGCAGTTCATTCACCAACTGCCGTTTCTCTAAACTATGTTGTTTCTTCGCTTCTTCGATTATTCCCAATCGTCGATCCATCGTTGTTTCGATTCGTCGATCAAATAAACGATACGTATCACCATGCGTTTTATTATTCGTTGTCACTCTTTAGCCGTTCACTGCCGTTCGACAGCCGTTCAATAGCCGTTGCTGACCCGTTCGTAGCCGTTCAATAGCCGTTCAATAGCCGTTCAACAGCCGTTCAATAGCCGTTGCTGACCCGTTCGAGGTCGTTTCTCTTCGATCGCTGTCACTCATTGTAGTTCGATAATCCTTCGTAGCCGCTCGATAAGCCTTTGTAGATGTTTAATAATTGTACAATAGCTGCTCCTAAACTGTTCGCTACAGCTCATTATAGGTTGATAGCCGTTTCTGAATTAGTGTTAATCGCACGTCGAAGTTCGTTTATCGCAATCTGTAAAGCTCGCATATCCTTCTCGAACGCAATCAGCTTCTCGTCTGATTCTTTCTATTGATTCTTCAACGTTTTAACATATTGTTCCACATACAGTTTGTTGACTGCATCGGTATCAGCCTCAGGTTGCGCTACACGACGAATCTTGCGCGACCTCGCGTCATAGTCCGTAGCGACGCGACACAGAGCGTTTCGACGCAAGTAACTTGTCACCAATTTACTCCAATGATCGCTTGTGCAGATTTCTTCATTTCTCCGTTCGAATAATCCAAATTTGTTGATAGGCATTTTTTTCGATGTGAGTAACGTCGATCGACTGATTAGTTTTGTCGAGACACCGTTTAATTTATAATAAGGCCAGCTTC